GCCCAATTGCCCATCTTGCTTTTACCAGGATCTGCCACTGGAGTTAGGGATAAGACTGGGACTAGGACTAAGGTTGGGGTTAAAGTTAGGGTTAGGGTTAGAGATGGGTTAGGGTTTTAGGTCACACATAGCATTTATGTAGGGGGTAAATCTCGTGATTGTTGCCCAGATGCACATTCGACAGTGTGCCTGTGTACGAATCTTCTGTTGTTGAAATCCTGTGGCATCATCATCAAGCGGGCAAAACACTAAATGTGCATTACTTCAGTTGCTATGACAACTCCTAAATTAACTATGAAAAGCTTTCTTGCAGTAAAATGAGTTTTTCTTATTCCACTGAACATCTTTAAGGGATGAAATATCTACATATTAAAGTGGCGAAGAACCGTCAAATTTAAATAAAGTCACAAATTCACACAGTGGCACGGTGGTGATGAAAGACCTTTTTAGGGGCTGATAATGGAGGTCAGTATGACAGTGGATGCAGAATGCAGGGGATATTGGCATTACAATAGGCCTCTTCATCCTTTTGCAGGTAGACCTTTACTTTGCAGTTTGCTGTAATTACGGAAGACTGAAGTCTCTGCTTCAGGCCAGAGCAGGCGGTCTGTGTGTGTGTGTGTTCGTGCATGTGCGTGCATGCGTGTGTGTGTGGTGTGCATTTGTGTGCATGTCTGCATGTGTATGTGCGTTTGCATGTGTGCGCGCGCTAGTGTGTGCGTATGCATGTTTGTGTGCGTGTATGTTCGTATGCATGTGTGTGTCGTGCAAGTGCGTATGCATGTTTATGCGGGAGTGTATGAATGTGTGTGCATATGCACTTGTGTGTGCGTGTGTGTGTGTGTGAGTGTTTGTGTGTGTGAGTGTGCGTACGTGCATGCATGCATGTCATGTATCCATATGTGTGCGTGTGCATGTCTGCTTGCGTGTGTGTGTGTGAGAGTGTGTGTGGCTGCTGCAAAATCTGACACCTGCAGGTCCAGAGTTTCGCCAAATCGGATGGTGAGCTGAATCTGACCCCCCAGGCCTGAAACACATCCAGCGGAGTCCTACTCATGCTTCCACTCACGCAGGGGCTGCTAAATTATTAAACAAGCTTGCTGATTATGCCAAGGCCTGCATTAATACCCCCCCCCCACCACACACACAGACCGGCACACAGTGAAATGGGGGGGGGGGGACAGATAAGAACAACGATCCTCTCTTGAGGGAGAGTAAATTTTTCATTAGAGGAAATCCAGCCTCCTGCCGATTCTTGGGCTCTGCCTGACCCACCCCCCCCCCCCCATACACACTCATATGCACTCACACACACTTGTTTACCCCATATACCCCCCCCACCCCCTTGCCTCCATTCAGGCCATCTGTGCAACCCTCTCAAGGACAAATGGATGCTGGAAGCAGGCTGTGGTAGGGGTTGGTGGGGGGTGGGGGGGGTGGATTCTAGCTTTAGTGTCACCGAGAGGGGGCAGACCGGTGGGGTATCCACAAGGATACAGCCTGAAACACACTGCCACAGTCTTCAAAGTCTTAACACAGGCCAGGAATAAACACACTCCCCCCCCATGCTGTACACAGCGATGGGCTGTGACACACCCCCAGCCTCTAGTCTGCAGCCCTAAAATCATGGCATTTAAGTGTGGCTGAGTAAAAAGAAGCAGTGTATGAATCCACGCTCTCTACTCTGACAGCAGCGATAAACCAGACCAGCATTTAAATTGGATGTGCGTTATCACATTACAGCCATTACATCCCATAATTTGCTTGCTTAGCAGATTTACTCCCCCCAGCCACCTGCACCTTACACCCCGCTTGCGCCGCAGTCATCGCCGGAGCGGTCACGTTTGAGGGATTTCCGCGTGAGTCGCCGCCAGAGTGGCGCCCCCACCAGGCTTGTTTTGTGCAGTGCAGCCAGAGTGTGACTCCAGCCTGGTGGGGCGGGGTGTGCTAACAAGGGGCTTGATGAGCAGCCAGGAGTGAGATAAGAGGGAACCGGGCGTGAAACGAGGCCCTCTCATCGCCTCGAGGACCGCGGATCCTCCGCAGCCATAACCTCGGATTTCCCCTCCCCCTCGTTTTGGGGACTAAGGTAAGAGACTCCTCAGCGATCACCATTACCGGGGGAAAATGCAAGACTGGCATCGATTGACCCAGCCTATGTAACAGATTAGAAAGCATACACAGACAGATAGTCAATAACTAACTCCACCTGTGTCATTTCAAAATGTTTCCATAATATAAATCATTTGCTTTGGTTCAAAACATTTATTGCTTTATTTGTGCCGCACAAATTCCTTGGACCTGAGCTCTGGCTTGCCCGATAAGCTCTGTTCTGGCTAGTTTCGGCTCTCCTTGCCGGCAACCGGTCTGGTTCCAGGCAGGAAACGGAGCCGACGTGGACAATGCAGCCCCGCGGGCACGGCGATCTCTGCTCACGGCTACCGACCGAACACGCATGCATTGTGGCGAGAAGAATCCCAGACACAGATTTGTTATCTTCTCTGGCTCAGGCGCTGGAAAAAAACAGCACGAGATCCAGTCACTTCCTGTAAGAGTCCTATTCTTGCCTGGTCTCCTGGTAGCATATCAGATTCATCTGAGTGAAACACAAGCTTTGTCTCTGTGTTAATGCACCCCCCCCCCCCTTACCAAGAAGCTCTTCTCACAAAGATGCCCTTTGCGAAATAGACACCCCCCCCCCCCCACGGCCCATTGATCTGCATCAGTACCCCCCAAATTAAAGGACCTGACCAGTCACTCAGTATGGAAGGGGGGGGGGGGTATGATTTTCCAAATCGATGTCTCCAGAGCAGGGCCCTGCGGGCAGAAACAGGCTGGAAGTGGTATCAATATGCCTGGGGGGGGAATTTTCATTTTCGGAGGGGAATCTGTTTGTAAAACCCACCTGCTCATCTCTCCAGGACCACCAGGGAGCGGGTTAAAGCCTAAGACGATGCCAGAGGATAAGCGTGGTATATCCTCTCTGTTATGCCAACCTGCCTGCACAGCTACAGCTTACGGGCCATCCGGGGGGATGGGGGGGGCTGGAGAGGTGGACAGGAGGCCTGCTTATCCCACACCAAGGGGGTGATTATCCCGCTTTGTAATCACTTTACAGACTGGACACCAACGGCTGGCCAGGCCTCTCATCCTCAGCCTGTGCTGCCACATCCCCAACACATCCCCAGCACATCCCCAGCACTCTTATGGCCATGGATCCATCTGCGGAGCCTCATGCACAAAGATCTCTCTTCATTTACGTACAGTAAGTCTACGTTTTCTTAAGAGGGATGGGACATCAAGTAGGGTCAACATCTAATACCAGCAGTATCATCTGAGCATTCACCAGTAGGGGGTGCTGAGTGGCTCAGTTCGCTACGTCTCTGTTCCTGTCATCAGAAGCCCGCCAGTTCGAGCCCCCAGTTACATGACCATGGGGTCTTGAGAAAGGCACTTAACCCCCAGCTAAAGGGGTGTTACACATTGGCTGAATCGGTCCTGTGACCCCCCCCCCCCCCCCAAACTATAAAGAGCAAGATGGGATAGGCAAAGAATTCCAATGTACATGTACTCAAACTTATGCAAATCAAATCATGTACCTCTTTCAAAATATTTCCATCGTAACATTTTCCATTTCACAACATTTTCCTTTGTGAAACATTTTCTCTTTCAATCAGGTTTATCTGTAGCCAGTGGAGCACCTTTAAATTCTACTGATGCATGTAGGGAATGCGACGTCGCATAATGTAGAACAATGACAATGAACTAGACCACCATCCTCCATTGCCACACAAAGTAGCAGGAGGTATCAGCAGTAGTGAACCTCCCTCAAGGCCCCCCGCGGAAAGCTGAGCGCCACAAGGAGAATGGGGGCATCTACGGCTTTTGCACAACCTGACCGGGGACATCGGTGTCGGGGCAAATCATGGAAAATGTTGGCCGGTCTTTGGTCCCTGTCAAAATGTCGTTGCAATATGGCCGCTGAGGTCATCATCATGACCAACTAAGATCATCTGTACAAAAAGCCAGGCCACAAACAGTCACAGCAGCGCGTACATGCAGAAACACACACAGGCAATCACACATTCAGTGGGGAAGCATATCTGAACTTAGGAAGAGATCTAATAGAAATTGGCATATTTGCTAAAGCTGGAGATAAATGACAACTCGCTGGAGTCTGTCCTTAGTAATCACCACACAGACTTGGAGAATCTGAGCTGCCCCCTAATTTAAGGACGTGTCAGAGTCCCTCTACATAAAGGACATAAGCAGGACAGGTAGCCTACGAGGGGGGCAAGTGGCTCCACTATCCCAGAATAAGCGTGTGGTGTCTGGTGCACCATGTGACCATGTGACAGTCTGAGCAGACTTACCTTGGCCTTGGCTCAGGATCTGGCTGAAAGCGAGAGGGAAACAAGAATGAGAAAAACATTTCAGCTTCACGCCAACGATCAAAACACGGTGACAGTCACACTAAACGGAGCTGAAATGAAACACAAGCCACGCTAAATAGATTCATGCTGTCACAACCTTTTAAACCAAGCAATAAAGTACTGACAGAAATGTCTTCAAAGACCCCCAGTGTCATCATTTTTGGGCGGGCAGTTTTATGGCCGACCGTCACAAAAGACAGCAGGGACCAGACGCGCATTCTCAGAGCTGAGACGTGAGAGTTGGTGGACTCTCTCTGAATTTCATTTGAGGGTAAAGGTGGGTCAGGAATACCATCCTGGGGGGGGTCAGCAGTGCGTCTTAATAAGAGGACCGAAGTCTTGGGGACAAATTTGTGCTCGAATTATTAGCTGCCTGGACAGAGACCACGCATGGTGACACAGAGACCACGCGTGGTGACACAGAGACTGCATACCTCCTACCCGCACTCTCCATCGATTTAATGACGGGTGTGCAGATTAACTAGGACAAATGGAGGACTATGAATTCCAGTAATAAATGTGTGATGGGGTCACGCTCGCTGCTGGGCCATTGCCTTTAATTCCCCTTTGGGGGTTGGCGTCATAAACATTTTCTCACCATATCGTGCAGCCCCATCACCCTGTGATATAATGCTCCCCTATTAAAGGCAGGAACTTCATCCTTTTACAACTTGCCTAAAAACAAACCAATCCAAGACATTCCCATGACTAAATAAGCCTCAGAGTTTAATTAGCGAATGGGGCATTCGATTGCTTAATGGTTGTAATTATACATCTGATGCTTCACCACATAAAAGCCCGTGAGAATTACAAATGGTCCCAGTGGCTCGCAACACTTTCGGTTGACTAATAATTTATTTAGTAAAACGAGCCTCAAAATTCCCAGCATTCACATAAAAGATACACATAGTACTAAAGAATGCGGCGAATGTCCGTGTCCTAACTTTGCCCCTCAGTTTCAGTTCTGACGGCAAGCGGTACGTGAAAATCGCCCCACCTCAGGCTAAACATCGTCTACTCATCTAGAATGAAGAACACCCCAGGCATTCAATTAAGAGCTTCTTTACTCACTGAGCGAGGAACTCATTTCTTGGCCCGATAAACTATTGCTATTTCTCAGCCAACGTTGACACAACCGGCTTCCCTCAGCAAAGATCAAAGATGCCACCCAGTTTCTTGACAGTGAAAAATGAGCCGTGGGGGTCTTTTTTAATCTGGTTGTGTGAGTAAACAAATGGTGCACCAATCAAGACAGACCTAGGATGGGGTGTAGGAAAGGCTTGTCTTTGGGGAAGCCTGCGTGTTTGTAAAAATGGCTAAACTAATGAGGAATATCAGTTACTCCCAGGTCTACTCTATTTTCTGCCAGTTTGAACCTTACTTGCTGCTTGCCTTGCCTGGTTCTACCAGATTCTACCAGAACCAATATCCATGAATGGATCGTGACGTGGACATGAAAGATCAGGGCTGTCGTTCCTGGGTCGGGTTGCGTCAATGGGCCTCACCATGGCTCCTTGGGCAGCCTCCGCCTGGTCCAGAGCCCCGAGCTGCTGAGTGATGGAGGCCATCTCTTCTTGCAGCCGCTCCGTGTGCACTGTGATCTCCGCGATCTTCTCAGCGGCCTGCGCCGTCAGGAAGGCCTCCTTCAGGTCCACCAGGTGCAGCGTCCGCTTCTCCTCCAGTCGGACCAGCCTGTGTAGCTCGTCAAACTGCTGGTTCACGTACTCCTCCAGCTGCTCCGCGCTCATCTGCGGGATGGAACAAAGGGAAGTCGCCCAAAATGCGTTATTGCCGCCTCTCCTCCGAAACGAGCCGTCAGCACGGCACTTGAGGTTCTACAGCTTCCTGCTCTGTTGTCAGTTGCCTCTTTTATTTGTTGATTTTCACTGTCACCCCACCGAGAATCGCTCACACCACATTGGTGTATATTTTTAAGGAAAAGGAGAGTGTAAGAGTTTATCCACGCGACAGCATCAGAAAACAACATGCCTACAAAACTTGGCATAAAGCAGTCGCTAAACCAGAACTAATTCTTGAAATGAGAAAGAGAAACACAAAGAGAAAACTACACAGAGACAAAGTGTTTGAAATAAAATGTTCTATGGAGTAATCCCCTGGAAAGATTAGAAGAATCAGCCTTTGAATTAATTTCTTTATCCATCAAAATGAATTCTAATCCTTCTCTGAAAGCAAGAATTCTAATGGCAAAGCTTCCCCGATTTTGACCGATATTGAAGTAAGTCTGTTATTTATTTGGTAGGTGCTCTCATAGGAGGTGACAGGAACATGTTCGAGGACAGTGCTCATCAGTCTGCTGCAGGATGTCCTCAATTATTCAACGCCACGGATCTGCAGCAGACGGCCAGAACAAAGCTTTTTAGTTTTTTTGGGTTTTTGTTTTACACACACACACATATATATATATATATATATATATATATATATA